GCTGTGGGTAAAACCCTATCAGAATGAGCAGAAACTCTTGGCCTATTTTAGAAGCCTTCAGGTAAGAGCCATAGCTGAAGTGATTCCAGCTGAGCACTGCTGACACCCAGCGAAGGCAGGAGGATGATCTTAGCCAGCTTAACATCTAGGGAAAATAACATTTTGTAAACTAGTTCATAGTCCCTCTTTCTTCCCAACTTCCCTTCCTCCCCCTCCTTCCTTCTTTCTGCACTGAGGATCAAACCCAGAGCCTCTTGTATGTTTATGTACTGTATGTGTGCACATGTGTGTATGTGTGCACATGTGTGGAGGTCAGAAAACAGCTTGTGGAAGTCATTTCTTCTAGGTTGAGTTCTGGTGGTTGAACTCAAGTGGTGTAAGCACCCCTTCCCTTGAGCCATCTCTCCTAATTCAGAACCTTTGTCCCTGTCCCCACAACTGGTACTAGAGATTGAACCTATGACCTTGTTCATGCTAGCAAGTACCCTATCACTGAGCTATGTATATATCCCTAGCCCTAGAATTCAGAATTTTTGAGCAACAGTTTCAAAGTTGTTTTTTTGTGCCAATTAGTTATAACTACTGCCACCAATGAACAGAGGAAAGTGAATGGGGGGAGGGTTACCCAGGGATTTGTTTACCTTTGCCTCAGTAATACTACAACCAATAGAGAACTGTTGGGGGCACGGAGTAAAACTGACCTTTTTCTGGGTGTGCATTTTTTGCTAGGTGGTATGAATTGCTAATTGTTACCACCCCTTCCCAAGCTTCAGCTCGACTGAGTCACTGTCCACCCTTCTGGCTGGAAACCAGGATAGTCAAGTGACCCTCAGCCCTGCCCAGATTGTATATTCTGAAGGTGTCCAAGCCTGGCCTGCCTTTGCTTACTACTGCATGAAACTTCAGTCCCTCAGCCAAGACTCTTAGCAAAAGAACAACCCTATGAGAAAAAGACCTCACTTCAGGAGCCAAGCATCAAGGACTGCTCTTCAGGCCTCTCCTTGTTAATACGAGGTGGATTATGTGAAAGATGGTAGAAGGGTGTTTTCAGCCTTGTGACTGCAAGGTTGTGGCTCTGGTCCAGACCTCTTAGAGTCCATCAAAAATTTCTCCATCTTTATGCCTAACACTCCAAAGTCACTTGATCTATACAGAACACAAATTTTCAGTCTAACAGACTTAAATACTGTATAGCTTTAAAACTGAGGTCTAGATAGGGGGACTAAAGAACAATTATTGCCTTAACAACAGGCTATAGTCTGCAAAGCTTGCTGTATGCTAAGTTTATGTAGGGCTTTGGCTTTTGTTGAAAAATAGATATGGTCAGGCATGATGGCACATGCCTTTAATCCCAGCCTAGCATTCAGGAAGCAGAGGCAAGCAGATCTCAGTGAGATCAAGGCCAGCCTGGTCTACATAGTGAGTTCCAGGCCAGCTGGGGCAACAGGAAGATCCTGTCTCAAAAAAATGTCTTCTGCATCTACATACACACTGTGGAACCCATGAAAACAAAATATAAAGATACACACAAAATAAATGTAAAAAAAAGAATTTTTTTTTTTTTGTCTTTTTGAAGTAGGGTCTCCCTGTAGCCCCAGCTGTCCTGGAACTCACTATGTAAACCAGGCTAGCCTTGAACTCCCAGATAACCGCCTCCCAAGTGCTGAGACTACAGGCGTGCCCCACCACACCCAGCTCATTGTTTTTTTTGTTTTGTTTTTGTTTTTTTGAGATGGGCCTCATGCAGTCCATATTAGCCTCAAACTCCATATTTAGCAGAGGATGACCTTGAACTCCTGATCCTTCATTTTCTATTTCCTAGTGCTGGGATTATAGGCATGTGCCACCACACTTTGTTTATGCCGTATTGGAGATGGAACCCAGGGCTTTGTGCCTGCTAAGTGAGCATTCTACCAGCTGAGCTATATTAGTCTCACCTTCTGAGACTCCCTGTAGCCCCAAGACATTTCCACTGGCCTGGAAGATACTATGTCCATTAGCCTGGCCTTGAACGCACAATGATCTGCCTGCCCCTGCCTCCATAGTGCTGGGATTAAAGGTGTGGGCCACGCCCATCATTCTGAGACTTCTTAACACGTATTTTTAGCTAACAAAGCCCTATTTCACATCTTCCTGGACTGTCTGGGAAAGGGTGGCCCTGAAGAATGCTGCAGCTCTCACAGATAGCCTCCTCAGGCCTCCCCAGAGCTCCACCTCCAGTCTCATCCCCACCTGCAAAGAGAGATTAAAACAATTTCCAGTTGTAGTAACAGGTGCTAGAGAACAAAGTTTAAAGCACAGGTCTGAAGCTAAATGGTAAAACTAAAGGGACTATCAGGCAAGGGGTGTCCTTGGAGGGGTCCTCAAGGTGCCTGGAGGCACTCTGACAGCTGTTCTTATCCTGGTTGGGGCTCACTCCAGTGCAGAAGGCTAAATAGTTTGTTTGCCCTTAATTATAAGGCACAAGCCCAGACCTGTAATCCAGTTACACCAGAGGTTGAGGCCTGAGGATTTTGAAGTCAAGGCCAACCTGCGAAACTTAGGGAGACCCTATCTCAAAACAGAAACAAAAATCTTAAAGGGCTGGGGATATAATTAGTGGTAGAGCAGGGTCTCTACTATGTAGGAGACCCCACCTCCCCAGATCCAAAATGCAAAAGACCTGTTATAAAGCAGTTAGCTCAATGGAAGGCCAGGCGAAATAAACTGTAGAAGTTCATTTGCGTACTTGCAGTCTTCTAATTCAGATGCAGCCCAGTCTATCATAAAAACTGGCCAGACATTACACTGAGCAAGGATAAAATGCTCCAACAATCCCGAACAATTAAGGCTTCAAGCATTTTTTTGCAGTGCTGGGGGCTTGCTCTCAGGACCCCACCTCTCAACCCTCTGACATACTTAAGGAGAGAACTTACAACTTTTTTTTTTTTTTTTTTTTTTAATCTGAGACAGGGTCTCCCTGTAGCCCCAGCTGTCCTGGAACTCACTATGTAGACCAGGCTGGCCTTGAACTCACAGAGATCCACCTGCTTCTGCCTCCTGAATGCTGGGATTAAAGGTGTGTGCCACCACGCCCAGCAGAATTTACAACTTTTTCAGTGTATGTATGGTTTTGTGTCTTCTTGAAGAAGACCTTTGTTTTACTGGGGTTTTTTTTTTGTTTGTTTGTTTTTCTCCTAGATGCAATTTTTGTGAACAGAATAAATTTTCTTCTTTGAGTCTCACTATATAGTTCTGGCTGGCCTGGAACTTGCTATGTAGACCACTGTGGCCTCAAACTGACAGAGATCTGCCTGCCTCTGCCTCCCAAGTGCTGTGATTGAAGGCACGCAACACCATGCCTGGCAGATTTTAAATAAGATTTGTCTTTGTGTGTCTGTGTGAGGGTATTTGAGTTCCCTGGAAATCCAGAAGAGGGTGTGGGATTCCTTGGGGCCAGAGTTACAGGCCTTTGTGAGCTATTGACATGGGTGCTGGGACCCAAACTCTGGTCTTCGTGATTGATCAGCAAGTGCTCTTACTTAACTACTGAGCCTTTTCTCTAGCTCTTTGGTAGGAGTATGTGGGTGTTGGGCTGCCTACACACACACACACACACACACACACACACACACACGAGATGGCACCTTCCTTTCCGTGTGTCTGCCAGGTTGTTTCATTCTTATCTGGGCCCCTTACCTTTCTGCCTGGCCAGGGACTTTTGGACATTTTTAGCAACAATGTCTGTGCCTCTCAAGATTTTTTAATGTTTAAGTAGAAGTCTGTGAAGTCTGAGTTCTTACTGAGGTATCTTGCATGAGATGAGGCTAACAAAAGGAAGCTTCAAGAACATGGATACATAAAAATGGATAGAAATGTTAAGAACAAAGCAGAATTCCACAAAATGGCCCAAATCCCCTTTGAACAGCAGTGGTCTGGGGAGTTGGTAACATACATCTCCCCCCACTCCCCAATAAGGCACTTTTGGTGGTGAGTTTTAGTCTAATTTATTTAGAATTGATGCAGTTTAAGCCCAAGGCTGGGAAAGCTGGTGAGACTGTCATGTTAATGGCAGGGTCAAAGGACTGGATTATGTTTAAATGGTTTTCTAAGCCTTTAGACAGCCACTTGAGTACTGGTCAACCACGGTGAGCTTCGGTGCAATCACTATTTCCCTACAGTGCTCACCTTCGGCTAACCCCGTACCCACGATACTTCCACTACTTTATAAATACTGCATCTTTCCAAATTGGCTCCAAAGAATTACACTTGCCTTCCTTTCTATACTTCCTTTTCCTTCTCATGTATTCCGGGCTATCCTCAAGCTCCTTATGTATGTATCCAAGGTCCTTGAAATGCTGATCCTTCTGCCTCCCCCTCCCGAGGCTGAGACTACTGTCGTGCGCCACCACGACTTACGGGGTGCAGTGATGGAATCCAGGGCTTCCAGCAGGCTAAGTAAGCTTTCTACCAACTGAGCTACTTCCGCAGCCACAAGAATCACTCCTTTCAACAGTTGGTGTGCGAATGTGCGAATTGCCGAAATCACCGTAATATGCCAATTCCCAGGCAACTCCCTTTAAACCCGGGGTTTCCTTTTGGGGAGCCCTCCCTGCGTCTGCAGATCTGGAAGCTCACAGTGGAGAAAGGCAACTTGCAGCTCTGGGTCCCTGAGTCACTACAGCCGCCCTATCCCGTACGGAGACGGGACTCTGGCTGGGTTTCCTGCTCCAGCATCTTCCTAAGAGTGGTGTGCTCCTGGGCTCCGGCTCAGGGAGGAAGCGGGAAACCCCAGCCGTTCCAGGGCCGACGGACAGCGATGGCGGAGCCGGGACTGAAGCGGAGAGCACAGGAAGCCGGAGCCGGCCGCAGCCAGTCGTCCCCGAGCGCCCTCTCGCGCCCTCTCGCGCCTTCACCCTCCGGGCCCGAGACCCGCGTCCGGCGCGTTCCCTGGGCGTGCGGGGGGGCGCG